CTCTGGGCTGGGTGAAAGGCACTGCTGACTCTTCAGGGAGATACACGAACCCTCCAATGGTGTCTTGGACCCACAGTCCCTCCAGCTTCCCCAGCTGGGGGCTCTGTCCAGATCTGTCCCAGAAGCCGGGAACCAGCCAAGCTGGAAATCCCCAGTGAGCATGTGGTTGGGGCAGGGAGAATAAGGTGATATCAGGCTAGAGTCTTGAGATACAAAGATGGTTGATATGAGGAACTGAAAATACGGTGGATCATAGCTGAGAGAGGGAGAAGCATGGGCTGGTTTGCAGGTAAAGCCCCTGAGGGGTGGTCAGACTGGTAAGGGGAGACTCAGGCTCATCCTAGTAACGAGGTCAGGAAGATGTCCCCGGGAGGGGGGGTAGTGGACGCCTTAGATGACACTCACCAGCAATTGCTGGCGTGTGCTGGGCCCGTGTCAAGCATTTTACTCTCATCACCTCGGCTAACATAAGAGCTCCACTTATCTTGGAAAGCGCATACCACATGCCAGACACCGGTCTTTACATTGATTATCTTGTAGAATCCTGATGACAGCCCCATGTCGCTGGTACTGTCTTCCGATGAGGACACTGAAACACGTTCGTTTTGCCAGTTTCCAGCTGGCCTGGCACCATCATCAATCCTTTTTGTTGTTTCTCCTTTTCTTTTAGGGATGATTTACATACGGTCATGTGTACAGATCTTAAGTGTACCAGTGTGTATGTGTGGATTGCAGCCACCACTGAGATCAGGAACTAGACCATTTCCGGTGCCCCATGAAGCTCCCTTGTCCCTCTTCCCGGTCCATTCCCCTCCAAAGGGTGACCGCTGTTCTGAGTTCTTCCCCTAGATTAGCATCTGTTCTTGATTGCATTATTACTTCTGGCTTCTTTCCTTCAACAGAGTATCAGTGAGCTTTAAGCCATGTGTCCTGACTAGCAGTGTCTAGTACTCTGTTTTCCATTGCATGGAAACATCACAACTTGATTGTCCGTTTTCAAACTGACGGATATTTAGAATGTTTCCAGTTCTTTTCTATTATGAACAGAGCCACTGTGGACATTCGCATACATGTCTTCTGGTGGATGCATTCCCACCATGGTAGGGGTGAGATGCTGGATTGCACAGTATGGAGCCTGGGCTCCTAACCCCTGCACCATCCTGCCCCTCCAACAGCACAGCAGCCCCACCAGGCAGTGAAATGTTATCCCATTTCCCAGAGGGGGAAATTGAGGCTAAGAGAGGTTGAGTGGCTGGTAGGTGACTTGGCTAGCAAGGGGCTGAGCTGGGGACCCAGACCCTGGGGTTGGAGATTTGGCCCAGAGCTAGGTGGCTGATCCACTGCTTGGAACTTGGTCCTTCCCTGGAGCCTCAAATCCTTCTGGAAAGCCTTTTTTGCCCCTAGTCTTCTTTGAAGACACGAGGAACAGGAAGGTCCCTTTTCTGTATTTGTTGGCCTTGAGCTGCTGGCAGCAAAGGGATGAAAGGTGAGGGCAGGAGTGAACAAGAGGTAGTGAAAGAAAAACCAGATCTCACTCCGGGGTGATGACAGGCTTCATGTTCAGGTTCTACTGTGTGACCTCAGAGTCTGTCACAGACAGCTTGGGAAGTCCCCTGCCCATGTCTCAGGACCTGGTAGCAGGACCATATCTGTGGTTGATACTGTCTGCCAAGTTCACGGTTTCCCCCTCTTCACGTAGTTTAGTGTTTCCCTGGGGGCCGGGCAGCTGGAGGGTGGTGGAATCCATCCCCACCCTCTGGCCAAACACAGGACCATGTACTCCTGTGACTCAGGAATCATAGTCTTGAATTTTCAGGCTGACAACCTCAAATATCATGAAATAGGCAATCCCACAAAAATGCAATGGCTGGTGGGTCCCCCGAGCCCCAGAAGCCCTGGCTGGTTGAGGAGCCCACCCCTGATACTCCTGAATCTCGCTGTCAGGTGGCTTCCAGCTTCCACACTGCTCAGCTTTTGTGTCTCAGTCCCTTCTGTAAATCACTGGACTGATCTCCCACCGAGGCTCTAAATTCCTTTTTCCCCCAGCAAGGCATCCTTCTCCCTTCATTCCTGCCAGGTGTGGGTGTTATCATTAAAATGCTATCTCATTCTTCTCTGATTGTGCCCGTCCCTGACTAGTGAGCTGTCGTGTCTTGCCACATGTTTATTAGTAGATTTGTTCTGCTGCAGAGGTTCTCAACTGGAGGCGATTTTGCTCCTCTCCCTTGGGGACACGTGGCAACGTCTGCAGACATTTTGGGTTGTCACATCTCGGGGTGTGTGTGTGTGTGTGTGTGTGTGTGTGTGTGTTTGCTGCTGACATCTAGTGGGCAGGGGCCAGGGATGCTGCTGAATATTCCACAAAGTTCAGGACAGCCCCGACAGCTAGGAATGATCAGGTGCAAAGTGTCAGTAGTGCCTTGGCTGAGAAATCCTGCTCCACTGTGAATTGCTGGTAAGATGTTTTTTCAAAAAAAAAATCAATTTAGAGATGCTCTTCACCTATGATAGACATTAGCCCTTTATCTCTCATCTGCGTTGCAAATATTTCCCTTTATTCTGCCCTCTTTTAGTTTCGTTTATGGTATCTTTTACCACACATACAAAACTCAATGTAATCAAGTGCATCTTCTACTTATGTAACAGCCTCTGAGTTTCCTGTCATGATTGAGGTTTGAGGTTCCCCCCCACCCTTGTTTAATGCATGTGGGTTTCCTATTTCCACTTTTTTTTAAGATTTTATTTTTAAATAATCTCTATGCCCAAACATGGGGTTCAAACTCACAACCCGGAGATCAAGAGTTGCATGCTCTTCCGAGTGAGCCAGCCAGACACCCCCCTATTTCCACTTCATTTTTCTAAAGGTTGTATTTATTTATATGACACAGAGAGAGACAGAGAGAAAGCGAGAGTGTGAGCGAGTACAAGCAAGGGAGGCAGCAGAGGGAGAGGGAGAAGCAGACTCCCCGCTGAGCAGGGAGCCCGAGGGGCTTGATCCCAGGATCCTGGGATCATGACCTGAGCCGGAGGCAGATGCTTAACTGACTGAGCCACCCAGGCGCCCTCCCCCACCCCCGACTTCTTTTGAGGTTTCTATTGTTTTATTCATTAAGCCTTAATCACATCTGGAACTGATCTTTGTAAATGGTGACAGGTGAAGGTCCAGATATATTTTTTTCCCAGGTGGAGAGCCAGTTGTGCTTTTAGCATAGCTTAAATTCACAGCCCTTTCCCACTGAATTAAAACCCCACTTCTATCATGTATTAAATTTACACACACACACACACACACACACACACACTTCCGGGCTCCATCTTTTCCCCTGATACTTGTCAGTCTCAGTAATGGTGTCAGATGTCCATCACATGGCTTTGTGGTATGTAGTACCACAAAGCCCAGTTGCTACCTCTGTTCTTTTCTTCCCCCTTAAATGATTTTTCAGCCAGTTTCAGAAATTTCTTCTTCTTTATTGTTCATTCTTAAGTCCCCAAATAAAGTTAAGGGGATCCTCTCCTTCCTCCTAAGCTGGGCTGTGTTGCCCTGCTTTCTGCCTTTGTAGCTCAAGGCCCTTTCCCTCTGTGTGGCGAGCAGGATTGTCATTAGATAGTCATTGGTTACCTCCCTCCTGCCAGCCTAACTCTGTCTGTGTCCCCAGCAGGGGCACAGTGCCTGGCACATGGCCCGTGCTCACTAGGTATTGGGTGAATCGATGAACAAGTGGATGATGCACTTTTTCTTTTTTTTTTTGTAAACATGAAAATGAGTTTTATCTCTTGTGCTGATTTGGGACCAAGGCAGTCACAGGGTGGTTTAGTCTTTGTCACTGCCAAGGTATGGCCTTGGACAGGTATCTCCCCTGCCTCAGTTTTGCTACCTGTCACACCAGCCCTGATGAGCCCTGAGCTCCTCCCACTGTCACATGGCCAGGATCCTGATAGGGCTGAAACACTCTTGGGAGGAGAAGCACCATACAAAGCAAAGCAGCAGGCTACCATCATGGCGGGCCAGTGCTGGGGGCCCCAATAGTTTTAGGGGCCCACAAAAATGTTCTGATTTCTTTTAAAAATCAAGAGAGAAAAATGAACTTTTAGGCAGAAGAAAACATTTTAATATATAACAATATACTTGTCTTTCTACCAATGCAGTCATAAAATAAAATTTTAAATACATTTTAGGGGAGGAAGGGGCCTAGGAAGGCAAGAGTACCAGAGCCCACAAAAGTCACAAAGTGGCCCTGTTAAACACAACCCAGATGAGGGGGGTAAATAATTGGCATTAGGAGCATAATAGGCCCAGGCAGAGTAGACATGTGAGGAAGAGGAATAAAAGAAAGCAACTTCTTGTCTGGGTATTGCCAGAGACAAGAACACACAAGCTGGAAACGGGTGTAGGAGACTTCTTTGTCCCCTGGGCTGTTCCCTGAGCAAACCCAGACCTGAGCTGGCACAACAGAGTGGAAGAGTGTGGCAGCCAGACAGACCTGGATTCTGGGCCTGGCTGTACCTCGTGCTACCTGTGTGACCCCGGGCTAGTCACTTAGCATCTGGGAGCCTCAGCTTCCTCATTGGGAAAACAGTAACAATAACACGTCTTCTTCACAGGACACCATCACTCAACACAGGTCTTTGGAACGCCTCCGCTGGTTCAGGCGCTGTCCTCGGTGCTGAATACATACACTGATGTGTCCTAGCACAACCAGCCCAGTGCCAGGCACATAATAGTTCCTCAGTAAATATCTGTTGAATTAAGAACTGGGAAACAGACTGGGGTGAGGGGGTACCAAAAATAAAATAAGTGAACACATACATAATGCATAGATAATGATAAACATAAACATATAACTATATGAAGTGCAATGACAAGGAAAGTGAGGTGCCAGGAAGGAAAAGAACAGGACATGGTGAAAAACGGGGAGACAGGACAGGAGAGCATCTGCTCAGATGTAGCATTCTGGGTGGGCTTCTCGGAGGAGGTGACATTCCAGAGAGGGCCTGAAGTGGACGAGTGATTGTTGAGGGGAGAGCTCCTGCCCCTGCCCTGTGCTCTCTCCCAGTCCCTGTCCCTGTGGTTGCAGGCATCCAGCCGGCGCTCTGGAGCAGGGAGGACGTGTTGCACTGGCTGCACTGGGCTGAGCAGGAGTACTCTCTGCAGCGCACTGGGGAGCATGGGTTTGAGATGAACGGCCGAGCCCTCTGCATTCTCACCAAGGATGACTTTCGGCTTCGTGCACCTGGTTCAGGTCAGGGGAACTCACTGGATTCCCTCTAAAACGTTCTGATGGAAACCCAGGTAGGCCCAGGGAGGGAGATGGAGGGAGATGGATGCATTGGTTGGAGGAGCATGCTCACCTCTCACCATGGCAGACGTCCCCTTTTCCATAAATGTTTGCCTGGTGGTTCCTCACAAGAGCAGGCCTGCAGCAAAGGAATCTGTTTGGCTCTTGTTTGCAGAGCCCTGAGCTCTGTCCTGCTGTCACTTGGCCCTCCCCTTCCCTGTGGCTCTTGTCTCCCCTACCCATTTCCACTCTGCCGCCTCTCATCTCATCAGCATGAAGCTTGTGATTGACCCCAGCCCTCACCCCAGAGGCAGGCAGCCAACCCGCTCCCTTCCTTCACCCCTAGGTGACGTCCTGTATGAGCTGCTTCAGTACATCAAGACCCAGAGGCAAGCCCTAGTGTGTGGACCCTTTTCTGGAGGGGCCTTCAGGCAGAAGACGCCCACTCAGCACTGCCTCTGCCTCCTGGAAGGTGAGGAGGCTCTTCTCAGAGCTCTGGGACCCTCTCCCAAGTTGGCCTCTTTGGGAGGGCAGAGCTTCCTCCAGGCAACCTAAGGGAAGAGGCAGCTGTGTGGGCTGAGCTCCCAGCTCCCCTCTGCCCTGCCTCCTCAGCCCTTGTGACTCTCCCAGCAGCCCTCTGCCTTCCATCTCCTCATTTCTTTGCTCTCCTCTCCAGCAAAGAATTTCCTCTCCTCCTGGTCTCCCTGTGGAACTGTTCTTGTCAGGGACTCTAGAAGCCTGAACGTGGGCATGTCCACATCGACTGTCAGTCCTTATTCACTGTCACCTCTCATGGCCTACAACCTAGTGGATCATTCCCCCTCCCCTCAAACTCTTCCCTTGGCTTCCAGAACACTCCACGGTCACTCCTTCTCAGTTTCCTGGCTTCTCTTTTTCTCCCTTACTTTTCAGTGTTGGGGTACCCCATGGCCCAGGGGGCCTCTTCTTTATCTGCACTCATACCTAGGGTGCTAAATACCATCTAGTACTGATGATCCCTACATATGCCCAGACCTCTGTGAATTCTAGACTTTCACACCCCACACTGCCTACCCTACACCTTCCCTGGGATGTCTAATGGGCATCTCAACCCTAAAAGCTCCTAAAGCAAACACCTGATTCCTGCCCCACCTTCCTCCCCACAACCCTGCTCCTCTTCCAGGCCTCCTCATCTCAGCAAACTGCAATTTCATCCTCTCAGTTGCTCTGGCCAAAATGTTGGATGTCACCTTTGATTGCTTTCTTTCTCTCCCACTCAAATCCCAACCGTCAACAAGTCCTGTTGGCTCTACCCTCAACATCTATCCAGAACCTATCCACCTCACACACCTCCACTGCTGCCCATGGCCCAGCCCCCATCACCTCTAGAGAATCTCCTCATTGGTGTCCTTGTTTTCACTCTTGACCTCCTATGATCTATTCGCAATAGAGTAGCCAGAGAGCTTCATAAGTCAGATCATGTCACTTCTCTGCTCAAAATCTTCCAATGGCTCCCACTGCACTCAGAGTCAAAGCCACAGTCCTTATGATGACCTCCTGCCATCTGCTGAACTCTCCCACCCCTTTCCTCCTTACTTATGCTGCTCTAGCCACACTGGCCTCCATGTTCATTGAACAAGCCAGAGACACTCCTGCCTCAGGGTTTCTGCTCTTGCTGTTCCCTCTGCCTGGCATTCCCTCCTCTAGATACCCACATAGCTCACTCCTCTACTTCTTCAGATGTCTGTTAGATGTTAACACTTCAGTGAGACCTTCTCTTACCATCACGTACCCCTGTCTTTCCCAGGATTCCCTCTCTGCCTTATAGTGCTTTATTCCATCCCCCCTCATATTGTGTACTGTTTCTATTTCCTTTTTTATTTTTTTTAAAGATTTTTTAATTTACTTATTTGACAGAGAGAGAGATAGCGAGAGCAGGAGCACAAGCAGGGGGAGTGGGAGAGGGAGAAGCAGGCTTCCCGCTGAGCAGGGAGCCCGACGTGGGGCTCGAGCCCAGGACCCTGGGATCATGACCTGAGCCGAAGGCAGACGCTCAACGACTGAGCCACCCAGGCGCCCCTATTTCCTTTTTTATTTTAATCATCTCTCTCCCTTTCCAACCCCCTGACTTCTTCCACCACTACAATATAAGGTCCATGAGGGCAGGGGCTGTTTTTTAGTTCAGTGATATGTCCCCAAGATTTTTAGAACAATGCTTGGCTCACGAAGGTTCTCAACAATTATTTATTGGGTGGATGGAGAGGGCATAGGACTGAAATACAAGGCACCTGGATTCTGGTCCTGGTTCTGTCACCCCTTGGCTTTGCAAACAATTTTACAGATGAAGGAATGGGTTTAAGAGATTGAGTTACTGTCTGGGAGCTGGTGTTAGCACCTGGGCTGTCTGGCCCTCACCCATGCCCTCTGTGCCTCCCTGACCTTCCAGCTGGGGACTGGATGGAGGAAGAGCATTATGAGTGCTGCCCCACAGGGCTCCCAGGCATGCCATTGAGTGGTCTGGGCTGGGGGAGGCTCTGAGTCCACAGAATCAGTGATGCTTATCTGCTTGCAGAGGGGACTGGGCCCCCTCAGTTGGCCCCCCGAAGGGATCTCCTGCAGCAACCATCACACCTGGGGCTTGCCAGCTCCTTGAGTCCCTTGGCCAAGGGGCCCCTTGGCAGGGAGGTGTCCCTCAACGTTTCTCACTGTGCGGAGCTGGGCTGCAGGGCTGAGGGATCCTGCTCCTTCCCCACCATACCGCAGGCCCCCATTGATGGCAGGATCGCTGGTGAGTAGGAGGCTGTGTGCCCCTGGCCCAGAGGGAGGTGTGCTGAGGCCAAGTCCCAGAGGGTGGCGGGTGGCAGGGAGGAGGGTTGTTTTGAGCTGGGGAATGAGAGAGTCTGTGCTGGGCTGTCGGGGGGGATATGGTGACTGTCCCGTGTGCCGGCCACAATCTGGCTGCAGCAGGCAGGGCTGCCCAGGGTCGCCAAGCCTGCCCTGTCTCCAGGGCAGGGACAGTGAAGCCGGTCATAGTCAGACAGTGAGATTGGCATGGCGTATTCCTCTCCTTTAAATTTTTATTTATTTATTTTTAAATGGTTGGGTACTTACTATGTGCCACGCGTGATTCTGAGAACTTTATTTAATCCCATACCAGCTTTTGGAGGTCAGTATTAGTCCCATTCTATAGGAAGGAAAACGAGGCACGGAGACGTTAAGTGACTCCCCCAGGATCAATCACATAGCAGTAAGTGGCAGAGCTGGGGTGTGAACCCAGGCCGCCCGGCTCCAGAGCCTGAACTCTTACCAGGCGACACACTTCCACTCCACATTCATAAACTGCCTGCCTTTCCAAGGGGTGTTTTGTTTTGTTTTGTTTTGTTTTTTAGCCGTGCCAGTGCCTACATTTGTTCTAAGATACCATAGAAGGGGCAGAAGCCTGGTTTTTGGGTTGGAAATGCCTGGGAAGCACTAAAACACAAGTATCAGGTCTTTTTTAATGATAATGCTTACTATTCTTTGAGCACTTACTCTGTACCAGGCACTGTGCCAAGGGCTCTTGGGTCTATTATGTTACTTAATCCTCATATCACCATCTATAAGGAAACTGTGGCTCAGAAAAGGTTAGGTAATCTGCCTGAAATGACCCTGCTGGGTGGCCCAGGGAGGGGACCTAAAGCTCTTGCTCCCAGGCCCCCTCTGTCACTTGCCATCCATGATGGCACATTTGATTTTCTCATGCCTCTCACGAGGGGGCTCGACAGGATGGATTTAACAATCCCAATTCAACAGAGAACCGGGCAAAGGGCAGAGAGGGATCTGGAGGCAGGTTCAGCCCACTGGCCACCCTCCAGCACCCCCACCGCCTGCCCTTGCCACCTGCCCCCATGTGAAGGGCGTTGGCTTTGACATCTGCCGAGCTGGGTTAGACTCCTCGGTCTGCGTGTCACTTCGGAGCGCAGTGACTGGGACCTGTCCATACCTCTCTGAGCCCATTTCTTCATCTCTTTGTGTGGATAAAGGTAACCACTTCCCAAAGTTGGGGTGAATAAATGAGACCATGAGCTCCCACACGTGGCTGTTCCTGTTGATCTGTCGTCTTGATCATCCCACTGCATGCCTGGGCCCCAGCCTAGAGAGCCCCAGAGCTCCTTCCTAATGTCTGTCCTCACGGCCCCAGGAAAGCCCCCTGTCTGGACCCCTTGTGTTCAATTGCAGACTGCCGGCTACTGTGGGATTACGTGTATCAGCTGCTCTCGGACGCCAGGTACGAGCCCTACATCAGGTGGGAAGACAAGAATGCCAAGATCTTCAGAGTTGTGGATCCAAACGGGCTTGCCAGACTCTGGGGAAACCATAAGGTAAACCGCAGCCCGCAGGCGGGATGGCCTCCACACATCCAGAAGAGGACAGAGCAGGGGTTCAGAGTGGACCCGTCAGCACTAGGGGATGGTCCTCAACTGACGGGGGGTGGGGTGGGGGTTCACCAGCAGCTCCAGAAGTGTTGGGATCATTTTATTCTGGGAGATCCTGAGGGCTCTCCGGTTACTTCTTGAGGATGGGGACCGTCCCTGAAACTCAGGAGTCTTGCCTTCTACGCGCTCAAACCCACCTTTGCTTAGCACTTGAGACTCTCAAAGTATTTTTACTTGAATTGCACCGCATACACTGTGGGGTGGTTAGGCCAGATGAGGAGACTGGTTTCTGGGGGGACCTGGGGTAGAAACCCAGGTCTCAGGCCCTGCGGGAGCATCTCGTGTCAGCATTCCCCATGTGAGGAATGCCCATACCTAAAGGGACGTTTGCCAGAGGATTTTAGGTGGTTTACTCCAAATTCTACTAATTAAGTATTTATTTTAGTAAGAATTAGGATTAAAAGTTTTAACTACAATGTCAATCTCTTGATTTCCAGTGGTGATATTAAGCAAGTGTCCTTGTCTATAAATAAATTCATTTAACTAAAAAAGGAGTCTTTTTTTAAAAAAAAAAGGAGTCTTAAAAAAAAACAACTATTAGCAATCATGGTGATCTGTAATAGATAGCATTTCCTAACATGGCATGGCATTTGATCAGCAGGCACCGCTCTGAGGGCTTTCCCTGTATTAACTCATTTAATCCTCAGGCCGCTTGGTGAAGTAGACACCTGGTGAAGTAGACACCAGAGGGGAAACAGAAACCCATAGTGGTTTCTCCAAGAGTCTGCAGCCAGTAGATGGCAGAGCACGGACTTGAACACAGAGTGTGTGGCTCAGGGCTCCCCTCTATTTCAAAGATTGATTGATTGATTGATTTGCTGGCGGGGGGCTGGGCAGAGGGAGAAGAAGAAAGGCATACTCCCTGCTGAGCAAGGAGCCCCACGTGGGGCTCGATCTCATGACGCTGAGATCACGACCCAGGCGGAAACCAGGAGTTGGGCGCTCAACCCGACTGCGCCACCCAGACGCCCCGCGGTGCTCCACTCTTGTTGCCTCTCCGTGGTGCTGGTGGCTGGAAGGATACAAATGACTTGAGGCTGGGTGTGTTTACCTGATCCAATCCCCATATAGTACAGGGAGGGAAACCGAGGCCCAGAGAACAGCAATTCCATTTAATGAGCATATGCTACATGCCAAGCACTGTGCAAAGTGCTCCCATGGAATAACTAGTTTAGTCCTCCCGACATACCTGCGAGAGGGACGTTCTTATCCTCATTTGGTAGCCGGGGAAACAGCTGCAGAGGCAAACAAACTTATTTGAGTTCCCGCAGCTGCCAAATGGTGGAGCCGGGGCTTAAGGTGACACTAAAGCCCAGCCTCTTTGCCCTTACTCTGCACTGCCCACCCCTCAGAGAGAGGAAAAAATAAAACGACTTGGCTAAAGTCACGCAGCTCATGGTGAGCTCCTCCTACCACTGTGTTCCCCTTACCATGCTGTCTCTCCAACTGTGTTTCCAACGAAATATATATGTATTTGTTACTACTTATGACATTTGCTATTTAAAAGCAACGCATGAAGGGCGCCTGGGTGGCTCAGTCGATTAAGCGTCTGCCTTCGGCTCAGGTCATGACCTCGAGGTCCTGGGATCGAGTCCCGTGTCAGGTTCCCTGCTCAGCGTGGAGTATGCTTGTCCCTCTGCCCCTCCCTCCGCTTGTGCTCACTCTCTCTCAAATAAATAAATAAGATCTTTAAAAAAAATAAAAATAAATAAAAGCCACAGGTGATTTACTCTTGTCCTGTGGTTCTCAGCCCAGTAGGTAGTGCTCATTATTTCTCCTCCAACCTTCCCCTGGCTTTCTCCTTCCAAACTCAAGAGAGCTCTCATAAATGCCCACAGAACTCTGGGCTGAGGGGCTTAAGAAACAAGCCAGTTAAACCTGCTCCTTTTTTTTTTTTTTTTTAAGGAAATGGGGAGGTGGAGGATGGGAGGCAAGGAGACAGAGACAGATACTTTTTTTTGAGAGGGAGAGAGTGAGAGAGAGCAGGGGGAGGGGCAGAGGGACAGGGGGAGAGAGAGAAGCTCAAGCAGACTCCCCACTGAGTGCAGAGCCTGACGTGGGGCTCGATCTCCCAGCCCTGAGATCATGACCTGAGCTAAAATCAGGAGTCGATGCTTAACCGACTGAGCCACCCAGGTGCCCCCAAACTGCTCCTTTCCAGGTATGGAAACTGAGGTCTGGAAGGAGCAGGGTGGGAGAGGAGGGTGCTGTGGGACCGCTTTACCTTCTAGAACCGGGTGAACATGACCTATGAGAAGATGTCTCGTGCCTTGCGTCACTACTATAAGCTGAACATCATTAAGAAGGAACCCGGGCAGAAACTCCTGTTCAGGTGAGTAGCTTAGGGGCCAAGGGGAAAAGGGGAAGCAGAGGGGTTGGGTGGGCTGGAAGCGGCTGGGGCAGGGGCTGATTTGCACCTGGGGCCTGAATTCCAGATTTCTGAAGACACCTGGGAAGGTGAGCCAGGACGAGGACAGCCGCCTGGAGCAGCCAGAGAGCCAGGAGCAGGACAGGATGGATTTCAAGGAGGAGATGCTGGAAGTCTCTCCATGAGGGGCAGGAGGATTCTGGGCACCAAGCACTGATGGGACAGAAACTGTCTCCCTTGAAGGCAGCTAGCTGCCTGGTGGTCTCCACCTTCCTCACGGATCAGTAGGGATCCCCAGCGGGTTTTGCACTCATGAGATCATAACCATTGTCTCAGACCTCAAAGCTGCCTGGGCACCTGGGAGGCTGAGAACGGGGAAGCCTCACATTCTGGACACTGTGGGGGGCATCGTTCTTGGGTAGGGTAGCACTGGGGCTCAGTGGGGCACGGGGAGTGAACCCTCTCTCTGCCCTACCCCTTGCTACCTGCGCAGCTTGGGAGCGGTAGCGGGGGGCTGAGAGAACAACCAGCCCAGCTCCTTCAACTTACAGAAGAAGGTAGCCGAGGCCCCTCACTGAGCCTTAGCTCTTTCCTAAAAGGGACATCCTCCTGAAAACCCCCGCTCTGGGGGCTGACGCTGGCATATGGGAGAAAGGAGTCCCCTTCGTCGGTCTTAGTAATAAGATCACAATGTTAACTGACATTTAAGTGCTCACTGTGTAGGACCCTTAGCTCACTTGTGCTAAGGGTCCTACACATATTTTATCTCATTCCATTCACACGCCAAACCCCTGAGGTTTAAAGATGGGGAAACAGAGGCAAGGCTTGCAGAGCTGGGATGTCTCTCCAGAACGCAGTGCTGTTCCTTGGCTGGTTGGTTGGTTTTAGTGACTCTGCATGGATGGGACACTTCTCAAGCCAAGGTCATGGCCCTGCCTCTCTGCCCTCGGCATCTCTGCTGAATGGTTCACCTCACTTGGCCCAACCTTCTTTCCTGTTTTCAGTCCTTTGTTGATGTTGTGACTATGACCCAGTGGGGATCGCCACGGCCCCCTGCACGTGGCCTCCTGTGCTCCGGGACCTGCACCTGCTACGTGACCTTGGGCGGGTTGTTGTCCCTTCTCAGGAGCCTCAGGCTTCCCGCCCGTAAAATGCAGATGCTATTCCTGACCTGACCTCACAGGATTGCCAGAAATCTCCGTAAGACAACATTGGTGACATGCTTAGCGTGTGCCTGCTCTGTAGGAAGCACTTAGTCCGTGTTCATGAAGAACACTCTGCAAACCCAACTGCCCAAAAGCGTGAAAGTGCCCCTGGGCTATTGGTTCAGTTTCTCTTCTCCCTGATGCCCCAGGAGTGGCTGGGGCCTCGCGAAGGGGTCAGAACCTCTGCCCTGTGACCCTTCCAGTAAGGTTTGGGGGAGAAAGGGAAGGGGGTGTTTTCACTTCATTGAAAAGAGAACTTCTTGGATTCACATCTTCTTTCTGGGCAGGAAGAAACCTCTGCCGCTCGCCCCCGGGAAGGTCAGGAAATTCCCCCGTCTGGCGGAGCCTGAGCTGGCTCTAAGTCACTGTGCAGAAGCTGATAAGGATTCCTGGACTTGGGCACTCAGAGCTGTGACCACTCCTAAGCAGTGCTTCAGTCCTGACTGAGTCCCGCCCCGGGCCCTGGACACTTCCATGCCAGAGCGGCCGGGCAGGTGACCTTGGCATAAAGGCTCAGTACGAAAATCCTTGGTCCCTTTCCTCTTCCTCGAAACTGTTCCATCTCCTTTGACTTTGGTCCAGGATGAACCCGTGCTCCCTAGCTTTTCTCAGCATCTCTAACCCAGAACTCCACAACTGGACTGGGAAAGACTGTCAAAATCCATTCATCCAGTCTCTTCTCTTATTGATAAGGCCACTGAGGCCAGAGACTGGCTCAAGACAAACAGCCCAGCTCAGCCTGGTGGACTCTTCATGCTGCCTCATAAGTCACTTCTTCCAGGTACGACATTGGCATTGGCCTGACATTCGTTACTGGTTGTCAATAACTGTGTATCCCAGGGAATATGTCTTCACCCGGGGTGATGAATGTCACCCAGCGCTGGGGCCACTGGGACCTGGGCTTGGGCAGAGTCTACCACCCCAGAGCCCGGATGCCCGGCCTCCCCACTCAGCCCCGGGGGGAGTCCACCCTTTCTCATCTCCCCAGGCACGTTAGGCTCGGGTCTGGGATGTACACCTGGGTGCCAGGTATAAAAGGATTCATCTAGCCCTTCCCTCTACCAGTATTAATGGTCCACTTGCTGCCTACGTGGCACAAGGTGAAGCTCTGGGTTTACAACCATTTTTTGACACAGATTCCTGAAAAGTGGTGGGTCACTGAAAACATGTCAAAATGGGCTTCCTCACAGATCATTTTAAAAAAGCAGGATGTATATATTCTCATGATTTGCAAAAGTAGCCAGCCATGTCTGTCTCTTATTTATTTATTTTTTGCCAGAAGTCAACAGTAAATAAATAATTTATTTAAAAAACTGAGTGTGTTAACAAGTTCATTAATGAAATAAATGACACAAGTCAGGTCTCCATCCAGTCGAGCCACTTACAGCATTCACCCGGGAGCACGGGCTCCATGATCCTCTGTCCCTGCCGGGGTTGTGGATTCTTGCCAACAGTCTTTTTCCATCGCAGGAAAGTTCCACTTCTCCCTGGCTTTACCGCGATGTGATTGACATACAACACCGTGTAACTCTGAGGTGACAACATCTAACACTTCCTTCAATTCTGGTGGCCCTGCCACTTCTCGGGCTCTTACGGGAAGCCTGGGCTGATGCTGGTGACCTATTGTCTCTCTCGTGGAGGAGCCTAGTGGTGACCACCGTTCTTGGCTTCTTCCTCTGGTCCCTCCCCATGACGTCAACCCGCATTTTCTACTCAAGTGTTTGCTCTGAAGTTTTAGAGAGATGCGCAGAAAACACACACAGTTACAGAGCAAGGGCTTGATACCTCCAGACTATCCAGCATCAGGCAGTACAGGCAGAGGCACTCCTGGCTCAGAAGGAGTCTGGGGAATGGCCCGTCCCTCCTCTGCCGGCTTGGCCACTCGGTGGGACTTCTGAACTAAGCTGCCGCCGGGTCCGGCTCTAAGATGTGGGTGGGGAGTTTAAAGGATGTGGTTCTGAAATCAGAATGTGCCTATGTAAAAAAGATTTTAATCATGAACTTGCTTTTTGAAAAATTCCCAAATCCTTGTAAGTGAATTGCTGGTGTGGGGAGGGGTGGGGGTGGCATCCGAAGGAGGGTGCGGCCCTGCCTTTGGGCAGTCCTCAGGGAGGGGTGCGATGAGAGGCATGCCCACTGGAGACCGTGGGGGACAGGGTGGCGCTGGGGAATTCTGCTTGGGAGGTTCCAGAGAGAGTGCCCCTAGGAAGGATCATAGAGGCTTCTGCTCTGTTTTCCCCTTTTTTGGGGGGGCCTGGAGGGGTGGCGGGGCTGTGGGCTTCCGGCTCACGGTGAGTTGAGGGTAGGTCGCGGGCTGACTGCGGAGACCCGTCCCTGGGGGAGGGCGAAGGGGTCCCTGAGTTACGTGCTTGGGTCAGCCTTGCTCCCAAGGCGGGAAAACAGAGCAGGACTGGGGAGGACACCCTCGTGAGGGTGAGGAGAAAGCTTTTGGGAACAGGGAGGGGCCGTCCTGTGTCTGACCCATGATGACCTACGGGAGGAAACTCCCAACAGCACCAACCGCACATACCCCACTTCATGGGGCAGCTGAAGCTGGGAGGGAAACACATTATTTAGAGCCAGTCCACAGGGAGCCCTCAAGGGTTCACTCAGCACACTACCACACCGCGCCCCCTGCCGGGGTTTCCTGCTCCACTTCCCAGGGGCCTGGCTGGCCGCTAACGCCCAGGACTAGGCCTGGGATAAACTGTTCATTAAAACCGCGCCCTTTCCGGGGCGCCTGGGTGGCTCAGTCGTTAAGCGTCTGCCTTCGGCTCAGGTCATGATCCCAGAGTCCTGGGATCGAGCCCCGCATCGGGCTCCCTGCTCGGCGGGAAGCCTGCTTCTCCCTCTCCCACTCCCCCTGCTTGTGTTCCCTCTCTCGCTGTGTCTCTCTCTGTCAAATAAATAAATAAAATCTTAAAAAACAAACAAACAAACAAAAACCGTGCCCTTTTCTCGGAACTGAAGTGAAACCGAAAGGAGGAGTGGTGAGAGGAACACCTGGCCTGGGCCAGGGCTCGGCGGGGCAGGGGGCACATTTCCGTCGGGGACAACTGAGGGGGCAACTGAGCCCCGGGGCTTCACCACCCACAGCAGAAGGAAGGCTGGGCTGGGAGCCGGAGCCCATTTCAGTGCTTTAGGGGGCTGAGCGTAATCCAGCACTTAGCTCAGACGGGGCTGCACTGGCCCACTGAGCTCCCAAACGTCTCCGCTTTTGCTCAGTTGCATGAACGCCGTGTGGCCCTGCTGACGGGCGACGCCTTCTACGGGCAATTGTAAAGGCCTTTGATGATAATAAACGATGCGATTGGGTAATAAACATAATGAAAACATGCACTTTGGTACACAGACTCTTTTAGGATATGATGTCCACGGCGCAAAACACTTGGAGAGAGTTGGTTTTTTTTTTATTGTTGTTGCTTTTGTGTAGGGGTGTTTCAGGGAGGCTCATGCGGAACTGAACTGGGAAGTTCAGTTTTTTTTTTTTTTTTTACTTCCGGGCAAAGACAATTCAAGGTCACTCCCAAATGCAAAGACAAGCAGAATGAAGAAATGAGGCTCCTCCTGCCAGGTGGCTTCTCAGTTTGTCGTCCCAGGAATCTGGAATGAAATTTAGGAGGGCTGCATCCCCTCCAATCCCAGGGACAGGCCTTAGCAAGCCCTGAGTCCCGTTAATAAATCCTCCCTTTAACAGTGGCCTCTCTGGAGCCTGCTGGTGCCTGGCCGGGCGCAGAGGCCGCGCCGAGCTCTCACAAACTAATGCAGGTCCTTGTGAAACTGTTAGGGCATCTATTCTGTCTTCACTGCCTAGGATTCTGGGGACACTCGGGCTGTGGGCTTCTCCCCTTGAAAGGCCTGCAGTTTAAAGATATGTCCACCAGGTGGCGCAAAGCCTCCTTTTCGTGCGGCTGTTGGAGCCCACTGTCTGCGGACAGTGTCTGTTCTGTGTGGGGGCGAGTCGGCCTTCTCTTACTAGGATGTGAATACAAATCTCCAACCCAGGCATACCCGGTAAGTAGACATCCAGCCCCTGCTTAAACACCTTCGGGGACGGGGAGCTCACCACCTCTAGGGACAGGGTAAGTAGCCGGATGGGGGTGGGGGGGAGGGGTGAAATTGAGGGCACCAAAAAAGCCACCTGTTCAGTGATAATGTCACCCTTCCTTTCCCAACCCTCAGGCCGCTGGCTCTTTGTTACGAATAATTTATTATGTCCATCTCTTATCACCTTATCCCTGAGTGGTTTATCAAGTTTCTGAACAGTGGCTCAGACAAGATCTTTCAGTCTGGGACACAGGCCAGGGGCATGTCAAAAGCCTCTCTCCCTGCACCCCACCCCCATCCCGGGACCTGGATTAGGAATCCGAAGAGAGACTACCTGAGTTCCCTCGTGGCTTTAGTGAAGTCAGCCTTCTGGGCCTCAGTTTCCACAACTGTAAAGTGACTAGCAGCATCCTTTACCCTGCTTGCCACATTAAGTTGTTGAGAAATTGCTGATGAAATGATGCATTTGTTTATTTAACAGATATTTACTGAGCACCTACTATAAGGTAGGCACTGTTCTGGAAACTAGGGAAGATTTAAGTAAACAAGAAATAGTGCATCTGATGTCAGGTGGTGTGGTAAGTGCCTTGAAGGAAGATACAATGGAGTCAAGTGACATGGCTGGGGGGAGGGGGAGATTCTAAATTGAGCTGTCAGAGATGTGATAAGCAGGAGCGAGTCATCTTCACTGACAGCCATTTCCCCCTGTAGTCTGTCTGTCTCCCTTCTCTTTGGCCTGTAGTTCCCACCGTGAAAGTGAGACAGACACCGTTTCTGAGTATTGAGATAGACAGTTGTTAGTTTCTGTTACGTGCAATCAGACGCAATCCTAGTAGATATGAATGATGCAGGCGGAAAGGCTGGGAGGAGAAGACCAAACTGACCCAGAGCTACTCCTCTCTAGTCCCCTCTTTTCCCCATGGGGGAACCACAAACTAAGGCCGATGAGATCATAAATTCTCCTGAACAGGCTTCAACTCACCAGGTCAGGCCCATCTACACATCTCAACTCAAGAAAGCACTGTGTGTTGTTGAAAGTTCTCTGGCTGGAAAGCCCCAGAGTTCTAAATGTGGCTCTTGAAATCCCAGCAATTCTTATCAGGAGATTTCCCTTCAGTCACAGACTCCAGCTAGTGACATGCTCAGGTTCCCAACCTGTGATCTGGGATGAGTCTGCCTGTCAGATTATCAGGGAGCAGATGTCTGGGGGTGGCTGCACCTGGTGAGTAAATCTCCAGAGAGATTCTGAAGCAGCTGACAAAGCACCTTTCTCCCAACCATCCCTTATGAGGATCACGATCAGACTCTGTTTTAGGGACGGGACAACTTAAGATCAGAGATATCAAGGGGAGCCTGAGGGTCTGGGAACCTGGCTTTCATTCAGGGCCCTTTCCAAGCTCTGGAACAGACCATCCCAACTCCAGCCTCACACAAACTCTAAAGTGATTTGCAATGAAGTTATGTTTTCCTGGCTGAAGTGTCAGTAATTCACCAAATCGGGTCTCGATCAGCCACAAAAAGAGAAAAGGACCTTAGACAAAGCAGAAGATCTGAACTAGAGCCAGCAGCAGAAGGTCCCCAAAGAAATAGCAGAAACGAAAGCTTGGCGGCTCAACCTCATCTTTACTTTCAGCCAGATGAAGTGCCTTTCTGATAATGCAAGGTCATTCATTTGACTTTGTAGTGCATTGGACATGCCCAGATCAAAATCCAGTTCATAGGTTAGATGGGGCAGGGGAGGAGACATCCATCATTTCTGCCCACATTCCATTGCCAGAACTCAGGCAGGCGGCATAGAGATGTGTTCCTTAGCTCCTTCTGAATGCCTTTCCACCCTTATTCATTCCATTCCTTATCCTGCTCCGTGGCCAGGAGGCTGACCCGTATGGATGGCACCAATGGCTCCTTTGTCCTCTGCTTGTAGTTGGGTTGGGTCAAGGAAGCCACTGGAAGGAAAACTGGAGAATGTGGTCTAGGTCTGTGTTTCTCCCAATCCCTCCTTGACTGGGGACTTTCCCCCAGTCCCAAGCAGGTCCATAGGTTGGCTATGTTTTTCTACTAAAAGCCACGTTTCTGTCACTGCCCTCTTCATACGGTCACTCCCTTCAAGTTTTGTTCCTGTTCCTTCCACTTGTCCTTTTAGACTGAGGGATGGTAACCACTGCCCGTTGGCAGCCCCAGGAAACCGCACCAACATTTGCTGTTTTCCCTACACCTTGTGTGCATCCTTGTAAATGGTCTCGTTATTTAACCTTCCACAATTGTCCAGTGCAGGTGGAAGGGACTCTTTGGTGGACAGTTGTCTCTGCCCCATCCACTCTGACCTCTATGCTTCTTGGCTTTTCTGCATGGGCTATCAGAGGGTAATGCCTCTTTCCTGCACCCCAGCTTCCTCATCTGTAAAATGAGTGGGCTGAGCAGGAAATCTATTCAACTGACATTTGGTAGCCCCTCCAGCTGCAAATGGTATCTTGGTTGTCCCGAGCTACCTGGCTCCTTGCCTATGAACTCAAATGCAGGTTTCTCCTTCGGGCTCCAAAATAAAAGTAATCTCATAATGTATCACCTGCCACATATCTTCTCCTAACTTCCTCTTGTAGATTCAATTGTGCCTTTCCCCAAGCCCCGTCAAATTCACCTCTTGAAGCCCTGAGCCCCAGTACCTCGGAATGTGACTATATTTGGAGATAGAGCCTTTAAAGAGGTAATTAAAGTAAAATGAGGCTATTAAGGTGGGCCCTAATCCAATCTGACTGGTGTCTTTCCAAGAAAAGGAGATTAGGACACACAGAGAGACACCAGGAATGTGTGCACACAGGGGAGAGATCCTGTGAGGACACAGCGAGAAGGCAGCCATCTGTAAGTCTGTGGTACTTGGTGATGGCAGATCTTAGAAAACGAATACATGTCCTACCTTGGGTTCTAGCCCTTGAAGGCTTCTCTGTGTTAAGGCTCAATACTTTGATAACTTAACCTGCGATGATGATTCAGTGGAGGTCAGAGAGTCCCTCAAATTTCCCTCAATAACACATCTCTACTTGAAGCATGACTCTTCATAAGACAACGCCCCAAAGAGATTGGCAATGAGATAATGCAGGTTAGCCGAGCACCCCTCTTGTCATCCTCCTGGTAATAACTGGTTTTGCTTCTGGGAACAGCTTCTCTCCTGCTCTATCACAGTCTCCTGCCCCTGACAATGGGGAAAGGCCTGCAACCCAAGTGGGGCCATTGAGAGAAGCTCATTCCCCTGACCACAGTGATTGTTCCAGAGAAGGCATGTGACCCAGGACAGGCCAATCAGAGTCCTTCCCTGGCATTTTTCTGACTGGACCTGGCAGGGAGGTTACCCCCAAGCTGTTGGTGATCACGCCCTCCGCCATGATGATATGACAGAGAAGCAGGAAGGTGAGGGGAAGTCCTGACTGGACCTGCTGTCCATTTCCAATCCTTGGGAGTTCTGAGCTGTCCTGATCCCTGAAGATCTTCCTTCAATTCTTTGACAACCCCGATAGCTTCCTAACAAATCTCCTTTCACTTAAGTTGGTTTGAGTTGGGGTTTCTGTCTTATACAATTAAGAATGCTCTGACTCTATTTTGAGGAGGTACAGTCCTTGCCAAAAAATGTTTGGCATTCTTCAAGTTTGCTCCCAGGCCTGCCACTTCTCTCTCTCCTAGAAGGTAGTTCCCTATTACCAGAGGTAATAGGAAAGGGAGAAGTAAAACTATGTCTGTTCATAGATGATATGATATTGTATACTGAAAAGGCCCAAGGAAAAAAATCGATTAGAATGAATAAGTGAGTTGAACAAGGTTGTAGGATACGAGACCAATCCATAAAAGTCAGCTGTATTTCTATACACTAACAATGAACAGTCTGAAAATGAAATTTGAAAACAATCCTATTTACAGTAGCATCAGAAAGAATAAAATACTTAGGATTATATTCACAAAACTACAAATCATTGCTGAAAGAAATTAAAGAGGCTCTAAATACATGGGCAGACATTCCATGTTCCTGGATCGGAAGACTTACTATGTTAAGATGGCAGTACTCCTCTAATTGACCTACAGATCCAGTGCAATCCCTCTGAAAATTCCAACTTTTTTTTTTTTTTACAGAAACAAATAAGCTGTTAGTAATATTTATATGGAACTGCAAGAGACCCTGAATAGCCAAAATGATAGCCAAAGTAATCTTGAAAAGAAAAACAAAGTTGGGGGACCCATGTTTCCCAATTTAAAACTTACTACAAAGCTACAGTAGCCAGAACAGTGTGTACTGACATAAGATAGACATGTAGATCAGTGAAATAAGATTGAGAATCCTGAAATAAATCCACACATCAATGACAATTGATTGTTGATAAGGGTGCCAAGACTATTTAGTGGGGAAAGAATAGGTTCCTCAACAAATGGCATTGAGACAACTGGGTATCCACATGCAAAAAAATGAGGTTGTAACCTTATCTCACACCAATGTACAAAATTTTTTTTTTAAAGATTTTATTTATTTATTTGACAGAGAGATAGAGAGCACAAGTAGGCAGAGAGAGAGGGAGAAGCAGACTCTCCACTGAGCAGGGAGCCTGACGCGGGGCTCGATCCCAGGACCCCGGGATCATGACCTGAGCTGAAGGCAGCCGCTTAACTGACTGAGCCACCCAGGCGCCCCTCAATGTACAAAATTTAACACCAAATTCAACTCAATACAAAAATTAACTCAAAATGAATCAAAGACATACATATAAGAGCTAAAACTGTAAAACCTTTGGAAGAAAACATAGGAGTAAATCTTCATGACTTGGATTAGGTAACAGTTTCTTTTTTTGTTTTAAGATTTTATTTATCTATTGTCAGAGAGAGAGAGAGAGTGCACAAGCAGAGGGAGCTGCAGGCAGAGGGAGAAGCAGGCTCCCTGCTGAGCAAGGAGCCCGATGTGGGATTTGATCCCAGGACCTTGGGGATCA